AACAAAAGTTCCCGCGACTGTTGAAAAAGCAAATGTGGCAATTAATTTGGGACGGAGGGAGTAAGAAATTGCTCTCTAGATTTGTTTTTATTTATTGTCTCCATAAAAAAAATTAACTATAAAAAATCAAAACTAAACAAATATTCAGGAGTTAGGTTTACATTTGAAAATGTTGCATTTATTATTCTTTTCCTCTCTAAATACGCTTTATAATTTGACTTTTCGTAGTTAAAATTTACTCCCTATAAAAACTTGACCAGTGATAAAAAATGATACGGAGCATACAAGTGTACGTTCAATTACTCTTTTATCTATCATTTATTTTTAATGTTATTAAATTTATTTTAAAATATAATTTAGAATTCATTAGTTTATACATTTTTTCATGTATAGTCATAAATATTAATTGTCAAGGAACCAACTCAACCAGAAGCTCAAGCTTGTGGTTGTGACCCAGGAATAGTTATTTATATTCTAACACGCCCCCTCACGTGCAGGCGTAGTCTTTTTCGAGCCTTGCACGTGAAACCTTAATTTTTTTTAAACTGGGTGGCGCTAAGTTTCGAACCCGTGACCTCTTAGTCAACGAGGCTCTGATACCATGTCAGGGAACCAACTCAACCAGAAGCTCAAGCTTGTGGTTGTGGCCAGGAATAGTTATTTATATTCTAACATTAATGATGTGTTCGGTGAGTAAAGAAAAATGAGTTCTGATATCTCTATATATTAGAACCTTTTTTTAAGGAATAGGAACTCTTTTTGATATGTTCAACTATCACAATTCTCCCAAATGGTGGGTTTCAATATCTCTTATATTTGAAAAATACGGAGTATCAATATAGAGGTTTGAACATATACTACCTTGTAATATAGTCGAATAACATTAAAAAACACATAATTATAGTAAAAAACATTGTGGTCGAAGAGTGTGATTTTTCTAAATAGGAGGACAGAAGTTCAATGCATGTCAAACGTGAAATGAGGTCTTAGGCCATTTACAATGGAGGATGAAAAATCATGGCGCCGGAAGGGAAAAGAGCAGGGCCGCGACAGGTTGCAGTGGACGGCCGGCCACAATGTAGGCGGATTTTTTTTTAAAGTATATTTCATAAAACGTCTCGTTTTACATATTTAGTCCCTACATATCAAATATTACTAATTTATTAGTCCCCAATTATTATACTCCCTCCGTCCCATAAAGATGGGTACGTTTTGACTAAAGTAGAAATTAAGGAAAGAATAATTTTGTGTTGACTTTCCAAAAATACCCTTGATGTGATGGGTAAAAATATGATGTGATGTGTAGATTATTAGGAAAAAGGTATGATGTGATAGGTAGGGTTTGAAAAAGTAAGGGGGAAAAATGGTTTTTTAATAGAAATGTGTAAGGGATAGTGGGACGCAATTTTTTTGAAACGTGTAAATCTTTTTGGGACGGAGGGAGTATCATTTTTCACGAATGGTCCTTTGTTAACGTTTTTGTTAAGAACATGGATAAAATTGTATATTCATACTTCTCTCTCTCCTCAATTAAGTTTCCTCTCTCCTCTCGTACTCTTTCCCAAACTCGTCTCTGAGTTTGAAGCTCTAAACTCAAAACTGAAATGATCATTTCTCTCTCAATTATTAGTCTTTTTGATAGAACATAAAATCAAAACCAATAAACTTTATGGATAAATTTTATCGGTTAGTGTCAAGAAATTGCAAAGAAAATAAACATTAAAACTCATCCATAAAGGTTACTGGAACACACACACACACATATATAGTTAATGTATAGTACTAAAAAAGTACTTGTATAGCTGTGTATGCTTTTGATTAAATTAATTAATAAATATAAATTAAATGAATAATTTTTATATTTACATAGTTATATACTCGTAAGATTTATATATGGTATGCACACGTAAAATTTTGTAACATCTTGTGGAAACATATAGCTATATGTTTTTGCATATATAATCATGAATGTGGAAACATTTATAAAGTATATGTTGTTTTTTATGATGTACGGAGTATTCAAGTTTAATAATTTGGATTTAGAAAAAAATGTTTTAGAATTTGAAATTTGAAACATTTATACGTGATGCAAATACATCACTCGAATAATACAAATGTATAGACTCGAGGAAATTGGAAATGATTCTTTGTTTTGTTTTTTTTGTCTTCAGTACAGGATTCCTTTCGTTTGTCTGGATCATTTCACAGTGTGCAATTGTTTAATTTTGATATTATATATTTTTTTAACATTAATAACTTCATTATAGGTAGAGTGCTTCTTTGTTGCACCTTGGGTGCTTATCATTTTTGTGAATCTTCTCACATAAAAAATTCTTTTTTTATTTTTTAATTAAAAGAACAAATACTTATTTAAGTAGTAAAGAAATGTTTGTTTTACTCGTATGTAGGTCCATCGTGGACCTTAGGTAAAGAAATAATGGAGGTCCACCATAGAATTTTCTTTATATATATATAATGTAGTATCTGTTCATGTATGCAAGACAATTTCTATGATCGACCTAAGGTTCATCATTAACCTACACATGAACAAAATAAGCACTTTTTATTACTTAAATAAGCATCTTTTTTTTTAAATAAAAAAATTAAAAACAATGTTTTTTATGTGAGAAGGTCTACAAAATGATATGCAACCAAGATGCACCATAAAAGCACTCTACATGGAATCGAAAATGAAATTAACTTCTCATATGAGAGGGTCATTTTCATGCCGCTAGACCACAAGATCTTTGACGTTTTGATATCATATGCTGACATTATTTATATTGTAACTCTTATTTTGGAATTAAAAACATTAATATCCTATTTTTAAAATTTTCTATATATTTTACTCATTATTTTATCTTTCTCCCTTAATAATAAATGTTTTGCGTCCTTCACTCTAATTTTTTATAGAGTACATGTATTTATTTTGAATTCTAAAATAAATTTTATGAATCATCAATTTTATGAACGGAGCTCCGTGGGGGGCAGTGGCTTCCGTAGCCACTGGAATCCAGTGGCCATGGAACTTGCCCGATAATAATAATACATACGGTAATAATAATATAATAAGGAGAATAATACTAATAATGGTAATAATATTAATAATACTAATAAAGGTAATATCGAGAATAGTACTAATAATAGTAATAAAGGTAATAATATCAATTGCTAATATTATCTTTCCTATAAAAATGTTAAAGTAATTTGTCATACCAAGTTTCCATTTTTAATGTCTAAGCTCCTAGGCTTTTCCGAGAATAAAGAAAAAAATAAACAACCAAAAATTGCGAGAATAATGTGTATATGCTAATGATAATAATAATAAAGAGAAAATAATACCAATAAGGTAATAATAGTAATTGCTACTCCGTAATATATATGTGTGTAAATAATACTAACATACGGAGTATCAATTAGTGTACCATCATATTACCGTGTAAAATAGAAAAAGTAAATACCGTGTAAAATAAAATGATAATGTAATTTAATAATTGTTGGAATGCATGAGTTCAACCCTTTCTGTGTTGTTAAGTGTTGATTCACAGGTTTTGATAATTGACAAACACAATTTATTCAAGCTAAGATCAAAGTGCTACAACAACAAACACGAAGACTTGAAGTGCCATTCCTTGAAGTATTCAAGAAGTTGCACAGGATTTTATTGGAGTCCGAGACGCGTTCGGAGCGCCTAACGGAGGACTCGGAGGAGTAGAAGATTTCTGAAGACTTTTTATTTATTTGAGTCGTAGGAATTTTTGTAAGGATGACAAAAATATCTTCTGTCCAAAATTATTTTTATTAGAGTTAAAATAAAAAATTATATTTATTTTTGGAGTCAGTTGAAAAATCTTTTTAACTGTTCAAATAGTTTTATTGAGTCAGTTACAAAAGGTGTGCCAAACATTTATCAAATATTTATTTTGATATTATAAAATATTTTTGGTAAGCAAAAATATTTTATTCAAATATTTTTCGTGTACATCGTTTGACACACAAAATATTTTTGGGACTCAATTTCTACACCTAAATTCAAATATTTAATTCAAATTTTGAATTTGAATTAATTCTTTCAAACTTACTTGGTTTGTTTGTTTTTGGGAGCCTTATAGTGTTGAAAACTTGTCCTAAACAAAACATTAAGCTCCAAATATCCATCCCACTCGCACACATGTCTTGGGTCCTCATGTTTGAGAAATGTTCGTCATTGGATCGATCCATTTGTTAGGATCGATCATCGTGTTTTGTGCTCAGGGATTTGGATCGATCCATTTCCTTGGATCGATCCGCCGATGCCTTGCAAAAATTCTTTTCCGGATTTTTGGTTCCAGAGGATCGATCCCCTGCCTTGGATCGATCCCCTGTGGCTTTGACAGAAAATCTTTTTCGATCCATTACTCCAGATGATCGATCCTTTGCCCTGGATCGATCCCCAACGGTCCAATCTATCAAAAACACTTCATCCCTACTTCAAACGGATTTATTTCTTTTTCCTCTATATAAACACTCTTCTTTGGCCATTTTTAATAACAAGAAACACTCTAATACTCCCCATTCTTGAGGTTTTAATCCTCCATCACCCTTTCCTCAAATTTATATTATTTTGAGAGAAAACTAAGTGTTTTCAAGAGAGTGTTTTGTCATCCATTAGAGCTTTAATCATTTCTCATTTCTACTCTTTTGAGAGCTATTGTTGAGAGGTTGTAGAAGATTGTTCTTCTTGTTGTTCAAGCGAATACACTAAATTCAGAACCAACACTTCAGAACATCTCCCGTATAGATGCTCGCCAACACAGCTCCGAACACCCTAAGTTCAAGAGCTCAACATTTGCCAAACAATTCGTGGGCATTCGAATTGCCTTCATCACCATCGAAGCTCTCTCAGAGAGCCCCTTGACCTGATCCCACGAGGTGGTGAACCAGTATACATCAGTGTGTTCTTTGCCTTCTCTATTTTATTTCCGATGCACTTACGTTTATATTATTAATCCTGCGAAAATCAGTAAACATTCTCAACAACTCTATTCACACCCCTCTAGAGTTGCACACCTTGTCTAACAATTGGTATCGGAGCGGGTATCTCTAATGTCTTTGAGACGTTTGAGAAAACGATCAAAATTTTTTTTTGAGAATGTTGAACGCAGGGATAGGAGAAGGGCAATCCAATGTAAGGCCGCCATTTTTTGATGGAACAAATTACTCCTATTGGAAGGAGCGGATGAGGATTTTTGTTCAATCAAACGACTTCAAAATTTGGCTTGCTATAAAGAATGGAGATAGCGTGCCGATGAAGAAGATAGGCGATACACTCATCCCGAAGGACGAGGATGAATATGATGAAGCTGACTTTAAGAAGGCTCAATTAAATGCCACCGCCATCAACTTCTTGTATTGTGCTGTCAATGCCAACGATTATCAAAAGATATCTCGTTGCCAAACCGCCAACCAAATGTGGAACAAGCTCATGATCACATACGAAGGTACGCCTCAAGTCCGTGAATCAAAAATTGATTTACTAACCCATGAATATGAGTTATTTGCTATGAAAGAGAACGAACTTGTGGAGGACATGTTTGGAAGATTTTCAAACATCGTCAACGACCTTGATATGCTTGGAAAGACGCTCACCGACAAGGAGTTAGTGAGGAAAATCCTGCGAAGTCTTACCAAGGAATGGGAGTCAAAGGTTAACTCCATCTACGAAGGCCGAGATTACAACGTTATCACATACGACGGTCTCCGAGGTAACCTTATCACTTACGAAACAAATCATCTTTCTNCCAAACCGCCAACCAAATGTGGAACAAGCTCATGATCACATACGAAGGTACGCCTCAAGTTCGTGAATCAAAAATTGATTTACTAACCCATGAATATGAGTTATTTGCTATGAAAGAGAACGAACTTGTGGAGGACATGTTTGGAAGATTTTCAAACATCGTCAACGACCTTGATATGCTTGGAAAGACGCTCACCGACAAGGAGTTAGTGAGGAAAATCCTGCGAAGTCTTACCAAGGAATGGGAGTCAAAGGTTAACTCCATCTACGAAGGCCGAGATTACAACATTATCACATACGACGGTCTCCGAGGTAACCTTATCACTTACGAAACAAATCATCTTTCTCATACTCTTGACGTTAAGATGAGAACGGGAATTGCTTTTAAAGCATCTTCTTCTCAAAAAGTAGAGATCGATGATTCGGATTCGGATAGTGATAGTGATTCTAGCACTTCTTGTGATATTTTGGTTGAATGTTTTAACGAGTTTATGAAACATGAGCTTAATAAGAGCAAGAGGAAAAACAACCCAAGGTGTCATACGTGCGGAAAGCTTGGCCACCGAAAATTTGAGTGCCTGAAGCTCAAGAAAATGAGCAAACAAGATGAATTTGCGTATTTTTCGTGGAGTTATGATCAACCTTCCAAAGACGATTCCCTCATCGGTGTTGAAAAACAAGATGGGTGGTCGGGCACGTGACGCACTTGAAAGGCGTGCTTGAAGACTACAAATTTTGCAGTGGATGCTCCAAGCACTTAGCCAAAAAGATTGCATCAAAGGGGAGTGATTACATTTTTTTAAATTAAATGTTATCTTTGAGATTTATTTGTGATAAATGTTATTTGGGGAATATACATAGGATGTTTTGCATATAGTAAGGGGGAATTTATTGGTATATGTGTTAATCTTCTTGTATGCTTTAATTTTTAAAGGGAGGTAGCATACTTTAAGGGGGAAGTATCTTATTTCCTAGAAATGCATGATTTTAGGGGGAATACGATTTTTCTTAATTGTTTAGAATTTTTTTTCTCTCCCTCGATTGCATGAGTTCTTTTGTTGCATTATTTTTGATAATGCCAAAAGGGGGAAGAGTATAGGAGTATATGCTTTAACTTGTTATTTGTTGGTAGCTTATCCTCCATGTGTTTGTCATTATCAAAAAGGGGAAAATTGTTGGAATGCATGAGTTCAACCCTTTCTGTGTTGTTAAGTGTTGATTCACAGGTTTTGATAATTGACAAACACAATTTATTCAAGCTAAGATCAAAGTGCTACAACAACAAACACGAAGACTTGAAGTGCCATTCCTTGAAGTATTCAAGAAGTTGCACAGGATTTTATTGGAGTCCGAGACGCGTTCGGAGCGCCTAACGGAGGACTCGGAGGAGTAGAAGATTTCTGAAGACTTTTTATTTATTTGAGTCGTAGGAATTTTTGTAAGGATGACAAAAATATCTTCTGTCCAAAATTATTTTTATTAGAGTTAAAATAAAAAATTATATTTATTTTTGGAGTCAGTTGAAAAATCTTTTTAACTGTTCAAATAGTTTTATTGAGTCAGTTACAAAAGGTGTGCCAAACATTTATCAAATATTTATTTTGATATTATAAAATATTTTTGGTAAGCAAAAATATTTTATTCAAATATTTTTCGTGTACATCGTTTGACACACAAAATATTTTTGGACTCAATTTCTACACCTAAATTCAAATATTTAATTCAAATTTTGAATTTGAATTAATTCTTTCAAACTTACTTGGTTTGTTTGTTTTTGGGAGCCTTATAGTGTTGAAAACTTGTCCTAAACAAAACATTAAGCTCCAAATATCCATCCCACTCGCACACATGTCTTGGGTCCTCATGTTTGAGAAATGTTCGTCATTGGATCGATCCATTTGTTAGGATCGATCATCGTGTTTTGTGCTCAGGGATTTGGATCGATCCATTTCCTTGGATCGATCCGCCGATGCCTTGCAAAAATTCTTTTCCGGATTTTTGGTTCCAGAGGATCGATCCCCTGCCTTGGATCGATCCCCCGTGGCTTTGACAGAAAATCTTTTTCGATCCATTACTCCAGATGATCGATCCTTTGCCCTGGATCGATCCCCAACGGTCCTATCTGTCAAAAACACTTCATTCCTACTTCCAACGGATTTATTTCTTTTTCCTTTATATAAACACTCTTCTTTGGTCATTTTTAATAACAAGAAACACTCCAATACTCACCATCCTTGAGGTTTTAATCCTCCATCAGTCTTTCCTCAAATTTATATTATTTTGAGAGAAAACTAAGTGTTTTCAAGAGAGTGTTTTGTCATCCATTAGAGCTTTAATCATTTCTCATTTTGTACTCTTTTGAGAGCTATTGTTGAGAGGTTGTAGAAGATTGTTCTTCTTGTTGTTCAAAGGCTTATGTGATTTAAGTCTTGGTTGTGAAGTCTTGTAGAGGGCATATCTACGAGCGGTTGTGTCGAGGCTTGTGGGATTCAAGTTCTCGAGTTGTAAACGGTTTGTTAAGCACCCGTAAGTTTAACAGAAGTAGTTGTAGCTTCGAGAGAGTTTCTCGGGGAACTGGACTAGCCACGAGGTGGTGAACCAGTATACATCAGTGTGTTCTTTGCCTTCTCTATTTTATTTCCGATGCACTTACGTTTATATTATTAATCCTGCGAAAATCCGTAAACATTCTCAACAACTCTATTCACACCCCTCTAGAGTTGCACACCTTGTCTAACAATTGGTATCGGAGCGGGTATCTCTAACGCTCTTTGTGACGTTTGAGAAAACGATCAAAATTTTTTTTGAGAATGTTGAACGCAGGGATAGGAGAAGGGCAATCCACCGTAAGGCCGCCATTTTTTGATGGAACAAATTACTCCTATTGGAAGGAGCGAATGAGGATTTTTGTTCAATCAAACGACTTCAAAATTTGGCTTGCTATCAAGAATGGAGATAGCTTACCGATGAAGAAGATAGGCGATACACTCATCTTGAAGGACGAGGATGAATATGATGAAGCCGACTTTAAGAAGGCTCAATTAAATGCCACCGCCATCAACTTCTTGTATTGTGCTGTCAATGCCAACGATTATCAAAAGATATCTCGTTGCCAAACCGCCAACCAAATGTGGAACAAGCTCATGATCACATACGAAGGTACGCCTCAAGTTCGTGAATAAAAAATTGATTTACTAACCCATGAATATGAGTTATTTGCTATGAAAGAGAACGAACTTGTGGAGGACATGTTTGGAAGATTTTCAAACATCGTCAACGACCTTGATATGCTTGGAAAGACGCTCACCGACAAGGAGTTAGTGAGAAAAATCCTGCGAAGTCTTACCAAGGAATGGGAGTCAAAGGTTAACTCCATCTACGAAGGCCGAGATTACAACATTATCACATACGACGGTCTCCGAGGTAACCTTATCACTTACGAAACAAATCATCTTTCTCATACTCTTGACGTTAAGAAGAAAACGAGAATTGCTTTTAAAGCATCTTCTTCTCAAAAAGTAGAGATCGATGATTCGGATTCGGATAGTGATAGTGATTCTAGCACTTCTTGTGATATTTTGGTTGAATGTTTTAACGAGTTTATGAAACATGAGCTTAATAAGAGCAAGAGGAAAAACACCCCAAGGTGTCATACGTGCAGAAAGCTTGGCCACCGAAAATTTGAGTGCCCGAAGCTCAAGAAAATGAGCAAACAAGATGAATTTGCGTATTTTTCGTGGAGTTATGATAACCTTCCAAAGACTATTCCCTCATCGGTGTTGAAGAACAAGATGTGTGGTCGGGCACGTGACGCACTTGAGAGAGTCAAAGTACTACTGATGAGAGTCTAAGAATTTTTTGCATCATTTAAAAATGATCGTAATTTAGTATCGTAAGTATGACCCGTGCAAAGCACGGATGTGATATTAGTATTTTTTTTAAAAAGTACATGGTTGAACCCTTAATAATTTTTCTTAGTTGAATAATGTCTTTACCAAAACTTGAATAAAAAGAAAAAATAATAGAGTTATATTAACATTAAAAATATACGAGTAATTTACATATTTAGATGAAAAATTATGATATTATAATGGAAATAAAAGTTTACTTTCAAAAAAATAATGGGAATAAAAGTATTATACCAAAAAATACAAATACTCCGTACAATTGATATTTAGACACAAAGACTTTGAAAGTATTTGGAATCTCATCAATGTTTGTTGGGCACACGACACATATTTTTTGCGTAAAATCAAACTTTAACCATCAATTTGATTTTTGGTTTTGGGTAAAAACTGAATCTAAAAAGCCGAATCTAGCCCTACATATTGGTATTGCTTCATCGAGTTGGTGTTATTACAACTTTTTTAATGCTTAACATTTTTAATTTTAAAACTCGACAAAATTCAAACTGAAAACCACATAAAACCAAATTGAATAATCAATGATTTACATATTTTTTGTGCGAAACCAAACCGAAGCACCAACTTACTTTTCATTTTTTCTTTGATTTTGGGTGAAAGTCCAACCGCTAAAATCGAAACCACCCACATAGATGTGTGAGGGTGTAAGAGCTGGCAAATCGGTCAATATGGTCGGATTGTGGTTTGTTTACTTCGAGTTTGGTTTCATCATGTTCGGGTTGATCCATGACCTAGTATCATAAAACCCGGGTCGATCCAACAGATTATGACTATTGTTTTAGAATATTAAAGTTCATAGCAGCACGTGTATTCTATATTAAAAATAAAAAATCAAAAAATATATTTTAAACCTCTAAAAAATTTTATTTTGATTTTTAACTATTTTTAGATATATTTAAAAATATTATAAACAATATAAAAAATAAAATATGTAACGCTTTTGGAAAAAACTATAGCCTAAGATAATTATGTGATAGCATTAAAGAAAAAAATTAAACTAGGAATAAAATATGGAGAAAGTACTTAAATACGAACTTTATATTTTTTTATCCTCAAAATAAGAGTACAATGCAAATAATGTCAATATATAGTGCCAAAAAATACAATGAGATGATATTATATGGTGCCATAATGTCACCGTGTAAACTTTTAGTTTGAGGATAAGAGCATAAGAAATCACCCAACATAAGAATAAAACATAGACTAAGTGAAAAAATAGCTCCATGTTTTTATCATTTAAAAAAGATCGAGTTTGTATTGTGGTAATGTAATGTGATACTGTTTATGAACACTTTACAAAACTTTTTGGTAATGTATATGATCATGATTAACACTGTATATGCATTTTAACTAATATTTCAGAAATAAAAACATAAACTCCTATTTTAATGTATTTTCAATTTTTACTCATACTTTTGTCTTTTTACCTAAAAACATAAAACTCTTATTTTGAGGATAAATATTATGTTTTACTCTTATTTGAAGTGATTTCTTTATCATTAAAAATGTATTTAAAAATATAAGTTTATACTATAAAAATGGGTTATAAGAAAAAAAACATAAATTTATTTTTAATATGGTACTTTTCACATTAATGTAGATGATTTTGAAAAACACTTTAACTCTAGTGGTTCGGTCAGACCAGTTCAAGTTCTGTCAGAATTAATTAATTTTTAACAGATCATTTCGAGTTTGATCGTCTTTAGATTTTACTCCGGGGTATTAACTAAACTTTTATACAAAACCTAATACTCCCTCCGTCCCGGAGTGTTTGTCCACTTTCATTTTTGCACACCATTCAATGCACTTCTTTAATCTATTTTATCTTGTAATTTGTATATTAAAAAATTATAAAAACCATATATTAATAATCTATATGTTAAGACGAATCAAACAAGATCACACATGACCATTTTTAGGCTTACACATTGAGAGAACTTGATAAGTCAAAGTGCTTAGATGAACAGTTCCAAAAGTCAAAAATGGACAAACACTCAGAGACAGACCAAGTATTTTTTTTATTAGATCCCCAAAAAAAGACTAGTACGAACAAAATATTGGGATTGGAGGGTCCAAAGTGGGAAAATGAATAAAATGGGCGAGTCAAAGATAGGTAGAAGTTGGTCGACCTTAATCATGATGATGGATTGGAAGCTCTCGTCATCATCTCTTCAACACCAAAACTCTCTATTTCTCTGTTCTCCCCACATGAAAAAAAAAGAGTACCACTCACCCCTCTCTCTCTCTAAACTCCTTGTCCTTGGCTGCTTATTCTCTCTCCACAAACAGATAGTGGGCAGTACATACATACAGTGAGAGAGAAAGAGAGAGAAGTCCTGAATCTAATGGAGTACGAAAGAATTCACAAAGTGCAGGCATGTGATTCCATTTTCACACCCCAAAGTTTCTTTTTTTTTTTTTTTTCGTTTTTTTTGGGTTTCTCTTAATAAATTTTGTCGTTTCATTTAATTTCATTTTCAGCTTTTATTTTTTTCATATGATGCGTCTCTATTGAAAGCTTGGAATGATTGAATGTGATTGTTTTAATGAAATTCAGACCTTGTGTTGTCAAATCTTGATATTGGTTTCCGGAAAAAATAATTTTCCAGTTATTATAGTGTTTTAATACCATGAGTCTATGAACTCTGTGACTGCTATAGTTGGAGTATTTCTGGGTATTCTTTGATTATGAACTCTCTTTTCTTTCTTTTTTTTTTCCCTGCTAAATGAATTTGGCTGACAGTTCGAATCTTTTCTGATTTACCCTCGTTGAATTGAATTATATCTTCCTTTTACTTTCTCTTTTCATTTCGAATTTGTGTAAACATTTTGAGTTTTTTTCCTCCCTTTTTGGGTGAGTTGTGCTAGAAGAAAAATGTTTGTAATTTGATATTAATTTGTCCTTTCTTGATTATTTCCCACAGGCTGGTTTATTGTCACCAAGTAAGCTAAGAATGAAGCTTGTAGGAGTTCATCATCAGAGGAAGACAAACGAAGGATCAACTTCAAATTGTAACTCCTCAAGAACCTCTCCTTCCAAAGTTGATGATTCTGAGTTTGTGAAGAACAGCTTGTTGGCAGCCTCCGATTTCGACGAGGAAGGTACACTTTATTGGGTTCTTTTTTATGAATGTTTCTTGTATTTTTCTTTGTTAATTGTTCTTTGTGGTTACTATAAAATGGTTTGCCTGAACTCGTGATCTCCTTATATCTCGTGCAATGTGTTTCTTTGGTTAAGTAATGTTTTGGCTTTGGTTTTTTGATATTGATTGTTAAATGTTGCAGCATTCAAATTGCCCGGAGATACATTATTTCCAAATGGGAGCCAAAGTTTTGTCCAGACAAAAGAAAGTTCCCAGTTGACAAGCCATTTGCCAAAGGGCGAAGGCGGAAATTCTAGTTCAATTCACCCATTGAAAGTGTGCGAAGATGAGAATCTGGATTACGACAGCACTTCCAGCTTTGAGTTTCACAAAGGGGAGAGATCGATGCAGCATTCGATGGCTAGGTCATTTTCTAGACCCATGCCTTCAAAGTGGAATGATGCAGAGAAGTGGATAATGAGTCGCCAAAACATCCAAACCAACCATCACCCGCCCAAGAAGGTTCACTTCCACAACCAAACGAATCGGATGCCCGGGATGAGCATTGTTAGGGTCGCCCCGGAATCCGCTAGCTTTATTGAAAATAAATTAGCTGTTAAGAGGGTTGATTTTTGCCAACCGTCGTCCGACCACTCATCTCATCCCATTTCTGGTCAAGGGAGTGCGCAAACTGCATCTTTTGATCTCTGTCCGGAAGGAAACAATTTGGCTGAGATGGATGATGGAGGCTTGGCAGAAGATAAAGGTAAAAACAGATTTTAGATTATGTTGTTGAGAATCCATATTTCATTCAATTCATAGCCTTGTTGAACTAGATATTGGGAGGTTTCTCCACACTGGATGTCACAATTTAATGATGATTGTGTTTGACATAGGTTTTGCTGGCATTAGATCGGTTTCAATGAGAGACATGGGAACAGAAATGACTCCGATCCCTAGCCAAGAACCATCAAGGACCGCAACGCCCGCGGGGGCCACCACCCCACTTCGGAGCCCAACATCATCGATCCCTTCAACACCCCGTAGAAGCGGAGAAGAATCAAAAACTGCGGTAGACCTTCATGCCATTGACCAGCGGCATGATGATTCCCAGGCAGAAAACTGCAACAGGGAATTGTCTGAACAAGAACTGAAGCTCAAGACCAGGAAAGAAATCGTGTCCCTTGGTCTGAAGCTTGGCAAGACCAGCATTGCTGCTTGGGCTAGTAACAAGGATGAGAAAGAAAGAAGCGGCTCTGTTCCTTTACACGGCACAGAGATGGCTGAGCTTGAACATCAGATTGAATTTGCCAAACGTGCCACTGCTTGGGAAGAAGCTGAAAAGACAAAACACGCCGCAAGGTCTCACCAATTTTTTCTTGGAAAATTCTTAATGTATGGCAACACTTCTGACACCAACAATTTTTCACAGATATCTAATGTGTGTTCTTTGTACATTTTCAGATATAAGCGTGAAGAAGTAAAGATTCAAGCTTGGGAAAGTCAACAGGAAGCGAAGCTTGAAGCAGAGATCAGAAGAATAGAGGCATGCAATTCACTTCATAAAAGGATTTATTTTTGGTTATTGCTAAGACATTCTTAGAAGGAAAGTCATATTATTTGTTTGGTATTTTCAGGCACAAGTAGAGAGAATGAGAGCACAAGGCCAAGCGAAGATGGTAAAGAAGATAGCAATGGCAAAAAGGATATCAGAAGAGAAACGTGCAAAGGCCGAAGCCAGAAAAAACCGGCAAGCCGAAAAAACCGCAGCCGATGCAGAGTATATTCGCCAAACCGGACGGTTTCCCTCAGCCGGTCTTTTGTGTTGTGGATGGTAATTATTACTGTATGTTGCAGAAGTAGTTCATTTCATCAGAGAGTCTCTTATTTGTGTGTGTACATCAGAAATTGTATCATTTGTATGTTTATCAGATGAGGGAGGAGTGTTTACTTTTTTACCTCTGGTAAATAAACACTCCAAGCAGGGTAAACTATTAGGTGATAATGGATCCCTTTTGCAGCTCTCCAAGGTAATTTGTATATGTTCTCAACATGCCATTTGTCTTATCATTGTCACTAAGAAAGTGTACTATTAGCAGTTATAGAGCAACCCAATGGAAGCATAATTCTGGTCAGGACCTGTTTAGCATAAGTGCAGTCCCAAAACAAGTGGTTAACATCCTCTTCTTCTCATTTGTTACACAACACACAATCCATGTTTATAACAATGAATCTTGCAAGCCTCTTTTTTTGTTTAGATCATGTTTCTAATTATCAACAACATGGTGAATTTTTGTTTGGAATGTAGAATCTTTATATATGTCAAATAACCCGTAAAAAAAAGTCAGATAAGTATTTATTTACTACTTAGAGAAGTATTTTTTTTACTTCTTCCCTCCGTCCCAATAAAAGGCTCCATCTTTGTCTTGGAACGAAAATTTAAAAAAAGTTAAACTGTGTGGTTAAAAACATGCAGAAGAGAGAAATTATGAAGACCATAACTTTTCTAAAAGGAAAAAAAAAGAAAATATGATAGAAAATAATTTTACTCCTCGTAAAACACCTCTATCCATTCTTTGGTTTAAGAAGTTTGAAAAAGGAAAAAAAAAGAAAATATGATAGAAAATAATTTTTCTTATTTTGTTAGAGAGAAAAAAAGTAGAAGAAAAAGAAAATGAGAAGGCAAAATGAACTTAAAGGAAGAAAAACAAAGTGAGGAAAATGAGAAAAAAATGATTGTCTTTTCTTTTCCTTCCTAATTCCCTGAAGCAAACATCGTGTTAAAGAAATGCTAAAAATGAAAAAATGAATGGTCAGAATTTATTTAAATGAGAAGTAAACATTGTGAGTTAGACATTCATTACTAAAAAAATAATGAGTAAAAAAAGTAAGATTTTTTTAGAGACTTCTTAAAGAAAGTTGATAAAATTTCTTAGGACCGAGAGAGTAAGGTAGAGCAACTACAGTGGGGATAAATCTCACCCCGCCCCATTGTTCTACATTTTCATCATTTTTAATTCAAAACTTGTATAAATTTTATACAAATATCTTGTTATTAATAAATATAGACGAATCATTTGAAAATATAAAAAAAGAATTGTAACAATTAAAAAATTAAAAATAAACGAACACAACATTAAAATTACCAAATACATTAATAAAACAAGAGTAAATTGAGTGAGATGACAGTGAATTCAAAGAGATAAAAGTTGATGAACTGAAGTTGAAGATGCGTTGAATTTATTGAGTTAAAAAGTAAGAAAAAAACGGACCAGCGCGGCGGCATGTCGCCATGGACGACCGCCCGCCCACTTCGCCGCGCCACGGCTTGATTTCCGCCTGGCATGCTTGCAATGGAGATCCCGTGAGACGGCCTTATACTCCGTATGAAATATCTATATTGTCCTACAAAATACTCCGTATTACATTAGAAAAAAACGGTGGTGACACGAAACATGTTAAATTCCAACTGAGGTTGAAGCTTTTTAGAAACTAGAATGTATTTTTGCTCTTACAATTATGAAGTTTACATTAACTATCATTAACTAGGAGAATATAGTTAAAAATAATATAGCACTATAATACACATTTCTCTTATATTTACTGAATCCTGTTTGTTCATCGAGCGCTAATTGTAGTATTTGAAACGTCATTTACTGAAGGATCTCGGTCCGCTGAAGAATCCGAATTCTCTATGTCAGAATTGAATAGGAAGGCAGGTTTTCGGGGCGAAGGAAGGGATACTTCATTGCCAAGCATGAAAATGACTTGTAGCATGGATGGCCTATACAAGGCACTTTGTTGCACACACAACAGTCCTACTTGTATGCACCTTAAGGCCAAGTCAACAGGATATGATTCACCCAATCTTGAATCCACTGTTTCCAAGGCTTTTCCTTCTCTCCACAATTCCCATACCTATTAATCAATACTTTCATAGGTTAAAATGATAGAGAAGATGAAAAAGGAAACAATGAGATTTTTTTTAAGACCCTGTTTTATACAACTTTCAATTCCAGTTATACAGACTCTGAAATTTAGTTACTCTGGTATAATTGGAACTGTATCTAGACTTCAATTAAATCATGTCTTACCCGTCCAATCAAATTTGCAGATGCTTGACCGTCTGTATTTCTCTTTCCACTAATGATCTCTAACAATAGAATACCGAAGCTAAAAACATCTGACTTTGTTGAATATTGTCCTACCATTGCGTATTCTGGAGACATATATCCGCTGAAATACCCAAAAGAAAAGGTTTCTGCCATTGTTGGAAAATTCTATTCTTATAGTTTTTGATATATGGGGACGAGTTTTGTTCTTACTATGTTCCGACAATGCGTCTAGTTCTTGCTTGGATTTGATCCTCTCCAAATATTCTAGCCATGCCAAAATCGGAAATCTTGGGATTCATTGTAGCATCTAAGAGAATGTTGCTAGCTTTAAGGTCTCTATGAATTATTTTCAGCCTTGAATCTTGATGAAGATAGAGAAGACCTCGAGCGATTCCCGACACAATATGAAAACGCGTGTTCCAATCTAATGACATTCTTTGATTCCTCTCTGCAATAAACAATTAATCCTTATTTAAATTGATGAATAATTGACTAGTTTACAACTACTCAAACTCTGTTCACTTGGGTTGTAACTCCTAACTTTCAACATTTTCCAAGTCCTAGTTTCTTTCAACTATGTAATTTACTGAAAGATGAAGAGGATAACACTTACCGAAGAGAAAATAGTTCAAGCTTTTGTTGGGAAGGTACTCATAGATCAACATCCTTTCTTCTTTATGAATGCAGTATCCGAGCAATTTTACAAGATTCCTGTGTTGTAGTTTTGCAATTAGTTTAATTTCATTCTTGAACTCAAGAGTACCTTGTCCAGAACCTTGGGACAATCTTTTCACTGCAATCTCTTGTCCATTGACTAATGTGCCCTGAGATATCACAACATTTATATTACACTTCCCCGGTCCAAAATATAAGGTTCGAATAACTTATTAATGCATGTCAATAAGTTCGTTCAAATTTGTTTAAGATTACAAATTTGCCTTGAGATATCAAAGCATTTACATTATATTACTCCATGATTGTGGGATGTGTCTGTGTATCAACCACCCGTGGTTTCTTGGAAAATCAATCATTTAATATTTTCCAACCAATCACAAGTCTTTTGTACACAGAGTGGTAAAATTTATGTCACAGCAGATCCTTACTCAAAAGTACGGAGTATACTCAAGTGTCCTTGGTTTTGTTCTATTTATTAACGTGGTTGTTGCTGTGTTTCAGTTTTTAAGAAGTAAATTTTTCCCAAATCATGCATGGTAAAAAAAATTCCCATACAAATGGACATTATTAAGACTAGTTATTATACCAATAAGTGCAAGGCAATAGGGAAATGATACCACATATACAACTACTTTAAGTCGAGGATGATACGAAGGTCGGCACCATTAGAGAGACAATCAAACACAAACAATCATGCACAAACGTCATTGTCAATGACAAAATATTGTCTGTTCACTGATGTTTTCGAAATTGATGTCATCCGTGGTGTAACTGTAGCATGATCCAAGACAATATGCCTCATAAATAAGGAAAATGCTTACTGTACACCAACAATGACACCATTTTTTACACCAAAAAAGGATTTTTGCAGACATATACGTATGTGAATGTGTATGTGATCGGTTCACAGACATGAGATGTCCGTGGAAGTATTTCTTTGGTGTCAAAAGTGGTGTCATTGTTGGCATCATTACTAATAATTACGGAGTATTCCAGAAACAAATCACAATTAAAATTGCACAGCGACATAATTTTTGAACATTTCACTTACCTTGTATACAGGGCCAAATCCACCTTGCCCTAACTGATTCTCATCTGAGAAATGGTTTGTTGCACTCATTATGGTTTTGATATTGAAAAATGGTAAGCTCGGTTGTGTTCTACTTTCTCCATCCTCCTCTTTTCTCGGGGAATTCAATTCTAATTCTTGTTTGGCTGGGAACAGTACCAATTGAGATAAAACATTTACATGAGTAACATATTATGAGACCAGAAGAGCAAAATAAACTTTAAAACCTTTTACAAAATGAAATAGGCACCTTTTCTTCTTTTGCAGTAGACAAAGAAGGCAATTATAAGAGTGATCAAAGTGACACAAGCTGTTAAAATTCCAACTTTTCCAGCCTTGGTCAGCTCTCTTTTGGACCTCCTAGCGTAATTTGCTGCTAAAAGTGAGGAAAAAGAAACCTTAAAGACAAAGAACAAACAATAACTACAACCTCAATATAATCCCAACATCGTTGGAATTTGTGGGTCAAAATGCACACAACCTTACCCCTATAAATAAGAGAGGTTTCTGTTAAACCAGTTTAATGACAAAGAACCGACATAAACAAAAAGAGAAACAAGAGAGAGAGAGAGAGAGAGAGAGAGAGAGAGAGAGGATTGCAGCAATTAATTACCAAGGTCAATAGCATCAACACGAACATATAAATCATGAACATCTTTATTTGAGACCTGTGTGTCCATCAAAGTACCATGCCATGTCAAGCACTCCCTTGTTCCATTCGTCACATCTGCCACTGCATAGGCATTGCAAGAACAGTTCCTCAAGCACACTTTTTGGCATTCCTCCATGCTCAACTCCTTTTGAACAGTCACTGTGGAAGTATCTGGAATCTTCACACTTTCTACTCTGATGAAGCCCTCTCCATTCCTACACATGGATGGTCGTCCTTTCTTCCTCGCACAACCTGCTGATGCATCATTGTTATTTTGCCACTGGGTAGAGTTTCTGGGCTCAAAGCCAGGTAGGCAGAAACACTTGTTGTAGGCATAGTTGACGGAGTCACACTTGCTGTTGGCACCACAAGTTCCATAGGATTCACAGTTGAGTTGTGGATATGACCCATATATCTTCCATTCTTTTAGAGTATAGTCCCATTTATATGCTTGCATGTATCCTGCCGGAACAACTCCAACTCGAAAGATAGCATTAGCATCGGCCAGGTGATACAAAGTTTGGACCTCATTATCATCTTCTGTGACTGAAAGATTGAAAGCATATGATACTTGTCGTCTCATGGATGGCGAACCCACATCTTTTTCGCCACTGAAGAAATATCCAACTCGCCACAGTGGAACATTTTTATTGTATAGAAAAACCTGGGTTCTTCCAGATGTATTGAACCTAAGTGAGATGCTTCCTGTTGCAGGATCATCTTCTGTCTTCCACGACTGCAGCATCCAGTTCTGACCAGTTCTTTTATTGAAACCCAATTTGGAATATGGAAGAAAGGTGTCAGTGGGATGATCAAAGCTTTGCCACAACACAGTTGTGGGGGACTCGTTTCCAATCATTACAAGATTACCTATATCCGTGAGTTGGGCCATGGCTGTATAATTACCTGGAAGAAGAAACTCTGTTGGAGTTAAAGGCGCCGTTTGACACAACTTCTCTTTTGTTATTTTTTTCTGGAAAAGAGCTTTTTGATGCAATGATTAATCCAACCGCTATCAGAGATGTCAGCAGCTTTTTATAATACTCGGTAGTTTTTTGGGACCAAAAAAATCAAATTACAAAAAGTTTGATAATCAAAGTTTTTGAAGACTGCTTTTTCAATGTACATTTTTCTATCTTTGCATGTTTGCCCATGATTCTATGTTTGAGCAGGAGGTCTCGTGTAAATAGCATTTCCACTACCGAGCAAGGCTAAGTTCTATGTACACGCACCCTCCTCAGTCCTCATACCCTACTTCTTGTGGGACTTTATTGGGTTTCCTGTTGTTGTAAACTCCAAATGAGTGATCTTACCAAACACTTTTTCGAAAACAACTATCACAAAGAGCTGATATATAGACAATATTTGGCATTAAGGGAGTAAACCCTCAGCTCTTGTATATAAAAAGTGAGTTTATATAGAGTACTATAACCAAACATGTAGTGGGCATAGTTACCTGTGACAGAAAGATCAGTAGACCAGATGAGCATGTTGGTGGAGTTTTGGCGGAGGACGAGATTTCCATCTGCTTCATTGAGGTAGAGAAATCCAGAGGTGTCATTCATGGGATTGTCTCTGTTAGCAACCCAAACAACAGTTTTTGGCAAGTTATGGAACCAGATTCCCACATAGTAAAGCCTGGATTTGCCCGGGGTGAAGAACCCAAGAGCAAACTTTCCTCCTTTAGAAACCACAACCTCTCCATATCTCAAGGGTTTGCCAGTGGTTATGGCATCACCCGAAGCAGCAGCAAACAAGAAAAAGTAACACAATTGGAGCATATAAATGAAAACTAGAGCCATTGATGTCTTCTCTATCACACCTGCCATTTCTAATGATTAAATCTGGAAATTGGGTGAACATAAACAGCATTCAGTCGAACCAGTCAAGGAAAGCATTCTGAAGAGTCGTCTAAACTGGAGGAGCTTTCTTCCGACTTTGATTGATTAGAAAGCGCGAGGTTACAAATTAGGAGCCGATGATGGATTATTTCCCACTCTTCTTTGGGGCGTTTGGGACGACAAGATGGTTGAAAATACATTTTTGAAAAGTAGTTTCTCAAGAACCTGTGAAAGTGTAAATTGCGGCTCCTTCTTCAAGGGTGGAAGGAGCCGAAAGAAATGGCAAAATGGTAAGAATTGGAAAAGAAGTACCAACAAGTTGGAAAATGAAGTGAAAAAATTACACTTTAGTTATTTTTGTTAGAATGATGCTTATATGGTCTCAACATCTATATTTTAAATGTATACTTTCTCACATTTTTCATAAACGTGTATTTGGATTTTTTTTGTAAAAGACTTACCTCTTTAATACCATAAATGTACTAAAGTCCATATAATGAGTATGGACTTTAGATCCATGAAAAAATTTGCCATTTTTAATGTAGTGGTATGTATTACTCGTACATTTTTTGAATTTTATTAGAACAATTTATATTCTATATGTTTTATTTTACTTTTTAACGTCACACCATTTTTGTTTCAAACCCCATGCATGCATTATATGTCTAAAGTAATATTTTGAGTAAATTCCATAAATAATTCCCAATTTTATGTAGTTTTTTATATTTGGTCCCTAATTATAAAATATTCCATAAACAGTCTTCGATATTTAAAAACTATTCCAAAAATAGTTCTTTTAACCAAATATGACTATATATTTTGCGTAAATTCTCAAAATGTTTCTTTCTAATAGGGTTTTTTCCAAAAATTACTAACGTGTCCTCTATAATTGAGATCTGTTTCGTAAATAGTCCATTATAAAAATGTCTATTAAATGACAGCAAAGTAGATGGTGTTTTGATCCTCTTTATTATCTAAACTATGAATAAGTCATCAAAATAATTTTTTTTAAATTAAGTGGAAAACACATCTCAATTATAAAGGAGTATTTAGGAAACACATCTCAATTGTAAAGGAGTATTTAGGAAATAAATCTCAATTATAAAATATCATGTGAGTAATTTTCGCTTATTGAAGATTATTTTAAGAAAAACCTTATGACATAGGATTGTTTTTAGAATTTACTCAATTTTTTTTGTCATGTTTGGTAAAAAGGAATATTTGTGAAATAATTTTTAAAAATTGAGGATTGTTTATGGAATATCTTATAATTGAGGATCAAGTATGAAAAACTATATATGATTGGGACCATTTATGGAATTTGCTCTAATATTTTTATAACTAAAAATGAGTGCTAATTAAGATAACCACGGTTTCTTCTCATGAGAATTTCTTTTTATTCTATTGAAAGTTTTTTCATTTATCCAATATTCGCCACCTATAAATTAAGTTGAAAATACTCCCATAAGCAAGTGTATGTGGATTTTATAATTATTTATAAAATACAAAAAGTAGAAAATTAACGTAAATTACATATTCAGGTAACTTTTACATAAGTTTTCAAAAAGAATAAATATGTATCAAATATAGAATTAATGAATTTATAGTATCTCGATATATAGTACAAATGTGACCCAATCGTAGATTGAAAATGTAAAATTTTAATAATAATAATAATAAATTTATGTTTGAATTTTTTTTAATTATGTTGACGAGATATATTTTGAACTGTCTCAATTCTTGAATATATTTCGAGATATATTAAATATCTTTAGAACAAGTAAAGATTTTTTTTACTTGATGGCAACTTATGAGTAAATATCTTTTTTCTTAATGAATTAAAATTAATTTTTTAAAGAAAACAACTTTCATTAATGAATTAAAAGATCCATAATGAACACAGGAGTGACCTCCCATAAAAAAAGAGCACTAAAAAAATTTAATAATGTTATAGATCAAAATTAGTGAAAGATAAGTATGGTATTGTAAGTAGTAAACTTATTAATGGAAAATGAAATAATTTTAATTGCCAGTTATAATGAAATGGATGGAATGATTATGTTATAGAAAACATTTACCGTAGTAAACAATAAATATGATAAAGTCACTTATCATTTCTACACTAATATTTTTTAAGAATCCAATTATGGAGCATAATAAGTTTATATTGAAACCAACGATATTTAATTTGTAAATTTGACTGAAATTTAAATAATGAAATTCAAATGTTGAAATTTGACTGATAGAGGGGATATAATGTCACCTTTAGAAACCAACAATATTTTATATATAAATTTTGAATGAATTTGAACAAATGAAAGGCATTAGAAAAAATCAAAAAAGTTGAAGAAACTAACATGTACTTTATAGTTTGAAAAAAGAGTTAGATGATAGAAGAAACTAAAAAAAATGGACGTAATTAGAAGGAAATGGAAAAATGGAAGAAACTGGAAGAGACTCGAAAAACTTATATAAAGAGGAAGAAACTATAAAACAAGAAAGCATTGAAAAAAAATTTAAAGAGTTGAAATGTCTTTGGGAAAAAAATAAAAAATGTTGGAATAAATATGATACGGACTGATTTCATTGTCCCACACCGATTAAATGGGGCACTTGGTGATAGGTCTATATAGCCAAGGGTTCTCCCACCCTAACAGCTAGCTTTTAGGGTGTGGCTCTCCCTTGTGCTGTATCAATGGTATCAGAGCCAACTTGGAGTGGTGGCCTACGGAGTGGTGACCTACGGAGTGGTGGCCTGGTGAAACCAGCCGTGACCAACGTGGCCGTGACAAACGTAGCCGTGACCAACGAGGACGTTGGGCCTTATGGGGGGTCGAATGATACGGACTGATTTCATTGTCCCACACCGGTTAAATGGGACACTTGGTGATGGGTTTATATTATATTTTTTAAATGACAAAAATGAAAGATCAAGATAAAATCATAACAAATGTTAAATTTTTACTTTTGTATAAGAGTATAGTGGAATTCCACTAGAATCCTTGATTCTTAACTCGAGTTCTCCGCTCGAGAGTAAAGTGGAATTCACATTTCCATAATTATTAGAAATTATGAAAAATTGTACTTTCTTTATGGATAAAGCGTTATTAGCACCCACGCTTGAAGTTGTTGAAATGATCAATGAATTTATATTGTCTCTTATTGTTGGTGATGAAAAGGAAAATTTGAGTTTTGATTCTTCATGTCAGGCATATTCACATGTAGGCATAGATAGTGATTGGATAATGATTGAATTTTTGAACAATATTAAATGTTCTGAATTTTGGACCATAAAATAGTTTTGAAGAAAGGAGTATTAATCATGTTATTGAGAAACATTTATCAAACTTCCGGGATGTGTAATGATACAAGGTTAATCGTTGAAGAGTTGCGAAAAAACGTTATCGGTGCAGTTGTTGTATCAGAAAACAATGCCGGTGAGAAAGTTTACATACCAAGAATGAATTTGGTATCGTCTGATCCTGGATGACCATTTAAGCTTCAAAGAAGACAATTCCTAATATTTTTATGCATGTTTTGCCATGACTATCAATAAGAGTCAAGACCAAACATTGTCATTTATTAGATTATTTTTTACCAAATCAATACTCACTCACGGTCAACTTTATATTGTAGTTTCACGAGTGAAAGCAAAGACATTATTGAAAGTGTTAGTTTTAGATGACAACGATAACCCTTGCAACTTCACAAAAAATATGGTTTACCACGAAGTTTTCCAAAAGATTTAGATTTGAATTATACATTTACATATTTTTTTCGATTTATATATATAGATGAATTTCGGTTAGCAAACGTTTAGGATATATCATTCATTAAAATTCTAATGTGCGTTATTATATTTTGCTCGATTTTTTATTAGCTAAGAAGACAAAATAATTGAGTAAAAAAATGTATTCGTTCGACCTAGTGCGTGGCACATGTTAAAACACTAGTGAAAGAAAAAAGATGACCTTGCATGTGCTACTCCTTTTTTTAAGTCATATGACTCTATTAGTTGAATTAAAATACTCTTTAATCTGATCAGTAGTCAATAAGGTTACTCCATAAAAACTCATCATGCAATATTCAATTAGGTTTCATTCCACTTTTCCATATGCATACAAAATTCAAGAATTCATTTATCCCTCCTCCGTTTCTAAAAACGATTCCTCTTTCGTTTTTTGTTTTCCTTAACACTTCCACTCCCACTTATAATCTCTAAAGTACCCCCAACCATAATTTACTCGTCTCCAATGTTCCACGCGACAACCTTTTTGTATCACTATATACTTGGCGATTCTGTCTTTTCTCTCACGCTTATTATCCTCACCTACTTCTCTTCTTCACTGATCCATCTTCATGGCTGCCTCCTCTCCTTCTCCAGATCGGAGCATGACCTCATTTCGCCTACATCGATGAGGAACACCCTCATCGTACTGGAAGATGTCAGTCATCGGGGGGGAAAGCAAAAACTTTCCGATGCTTTCTTCAAGCCTGATGGAGATGTGTTTCCATCATATTCATCCAACATTGATCCGTCATGGAGTTGAATGGGGGTCAAATCTGGAAGAAGGTTCATCACATGTTGAGTCCTCATTTACCACTAATGAGATTCGAGAAACGACCTCGGATATAGAGATTTTCTTTGCTCAGCCACTAGGAAGTCCATCTAAAATTCAAAGACTTAAACAGAGTAAAGTCTTTCAATCCTATGTCTTTTATACTTTGTTTATAAGTACTTACATGTTGATTTTCTATGCGGTTTTTGGGCAAGCTCATTATGCAAATCAAAGATTATCTGAAATATATTGTGAGAGTTTCTAGATTGTAATGCCACCCCTATTAGTTTGGAGGCTTACAATGCTCAATCACGGTGACGTGTTTGGTTAGGCCTTCTATGTGCAATGTGTCATGTGTGCAATGTTGTAAAGGTGTATGTGTGTCTGTGGGTAAACTTGAAATGTATTTGTGCATGTTCTTTTCAAACATTTAATCTATACTTGCTCACTACTTAAGTGTATAATCTATTCATGTGATGGAAGAAGAATTTGTTTTTAATATATGTTTTGTGCGGCAGTTTGTCCCTAAACATTGACTCCCTAAGAATTAAGGTCCCATTATATGCTTGCGATGAAAGTAAAATGTGTTTTTTCTATGTTCTCTGAGGCAGTTTGTTCCTAAACATTGACTCCCCAAAAATTATGGTTCCTTTATCTGTTTGTGATGGAAGTAGAATGTGTTTTTATTTCTATGTTGTGTGAGGGAGTTTGTCCCTAACATTGACTCCCTAAATATGATGGTCCCTTTCTCTGCCTGTAATGGAAGCAAAATGTCTTTTTATTTCTATGTTGTCTGAGGCAGTTTGTCCCTAACATTGACTCCCTAAATATGGTGGTCCTTTTCTCTGCATGTGATAGATTTAGAATGTACTACTACAAAAAGGTCAAATCGACTACCAATTTGCACCGATTATAAAGAAAACTGATGAAAAAAGGGGTACTGGATTTTCCCAACCGGACCCTTTTGAATCAGTCATTAGTAATAACCGATTCAAAAGATTAATACCTTTTTGAATTTTAGGCATCATTGGGTGTTATTTATAATACGCTTATTTGAAAACAAAGTGTATTTCTTTAGCTCAATCTTCGGGGCTAGAGGGCATAAGAAAATGAAAGTGAAGACTTTCGTAAACGAGTAAGTATTAATATGAGTCATATTAATAATATTGTTGAAAGTCTTTGTTTGTTACTAACTTTTTTCCTTGTTGATTCATTTTTCATTTTTTAAACTTTTAATAAAGATCTTGGTGGTTATTTCGGGAAAGGAACATGCCTCAGCTTAAGGCTCGACCAGATTAGATTCATGTTCTCGGAGCACCACAACAACTAGTGGGGAAAGAGTGTGGATATTGTACTATGCAATTTGTATGGATCATCGTCACTTTGTGTTCTCATTGTTCTATACTATTATCTGATGTAACTTCGTTTTAGTTTGTTCTTGAAACTAAAGTGTTTTTTTATTATAGATTATTTAAAATTTATTGTTGTATGTTTTTTCGTATTGTAGGTGTTTCATTCTACTTCGCTGTACACGGTTCCTGAATTAGAGGAGGTTAGAGAATTTTGGGCGAGGGGTTTTCTTCATAAATTAATTTAAGTTTCATATGTTTGTATTAGATTGTATGACTTCTTTGTTAAAATGAGTATATAGTTTAGTTATTATATTGTGGTGGTATAATATGAGTAGTTTGTTAAAAGTTTTGTTATTTTGAGTTTGGTGAATATGTTATGAGGTTGTTTTGATCTATTCTGGGTTGTTCTGTTTTGCAGCAATTCTGTTTTGTTCTTGTCTGTTCTAGTGTTTTATTACAAACAACTGATTTAAAAGGTCCTTTCCAGAAATAGCCCTAGTTCTGGGAAGGACATTTTGAATTATATATATATACATATACATACATACATACACACACAGATATATATATATATATATATATATATATATATATATATATATATATATATAAACCCGAAAACACCACCAAAATCAGTGGGGTAAGGTCCAGGCAACCCTTACCGAATTTATTGATAAAATCATAGAGTTACACGTTCGGGGAGGACTAGACCGAAGCCCCGAAGGTTGAAACCAAAACTTACACAACACACAAAATACAATACATCGAATCCAAGAAAATAAAAGATAGGCAAAACTTACACAACATCATGTGAGTGTTGTTGCAATTGATTTTCCCCCAAGCGCAAATATCTGAATTCCCGAATTAACCAGGCTCTCATCTCTGATCATCCATCCCTTGTTACGGTATTTCCAATTCCACAAATTCATGTTGCTCTTAATGTTATAGATTATATTGTTGGTATTCAGATCTTCGTTACCAAATGAAATTGCAGAATATTGCTTCCAAATACACCAAGCAATAACTCCTGGCATCACCAATTTCATGTTCCCACGAAGTGTATGGGTTTCTGATCTGAGGTGCCATTCTAAAATGTGTTGCTTGATGGTTGTAGCAGGTCTGATTCTAGGTCCCTCTATTATATCTGCTATTTCATCCCAAATATATCTGATCTTACCACATTGAAGAATGCAGTGGTCTACTGTGGCTTCATTCTTTTTGCAAAAGGGGCACTGAGAGGGCAGGCTATAGCTCATTCTAGAGAGAACATCAGGGNCCTTCTGAGGTAGGTTTGCTGATGTCTTTCCACCCTTTCCAATGATATTTATGCTTCCCATCTCTTTGTCCCCATAAGAAGTTGCTCATCATCCTCTGTAGAGAGTTAATAATAGAAGTAGGGAGAGAGTGAACAGCTTGAATATGTAGAGGGATGGAAGATAAAACATGTTTTATCAAAATAAGCCTCCCCATAGGATTCAGGGCCTTGCTATACCAAGTGTCAATGTATTTCTGAAAGTGTCTCATCAAATCACCACATTCAGCTTTTCTGAGTATACCCTTACAAATAGGAGAACCTAGGTATTTGAAAGGTATCTTGCTACATCTCATTCCTAAAAGTTGCTCCAAAGTATAGATCCTGCTTTGTTTAATACTTTTTCCACAATAGAATCTGCTTTTCCCAAGGTTTATCTCTTGACCTGATGCATTCATATAACTCTTTAGAAGAGTATTGACCTTCAGCAGATTCCTTGTATCACCATTGCAAAAAATTTTGATGTCATCTGCATAAGCCAAGTGACTTATAAGATAATCCCTCCCTATATTGTAGTTGACAATCTTGGATGAGGCCATATTTTGTTTAAGCATCCTGGAAAGTCCTTCCCCTGCTATAATGAAAAGCAATGGAGATAGAGGATCCCCCTGTTTCACCCCCCTTTTCATAGTGAAAAAACCCTGAGGACTCCCATTGACCATAACAGAGATGAATGTGCTTCTCAAATTGGCTAAGAGAAGTTTTTGATTGTGATCACTGAAACCTAGTTTATCCAACACGCCTAGAATGTAATGCCATTCCATATTATCAAAA